AAACTCTTCCGACAGGTGCGTTACTTCCAGGCAGACACATAATGTACCTACTCAATAATTGAGGAAAAGTTTGTTATATGAAGATTGTTGGTACGAAAGTGCTGGAATAATTCGACCCAACGGTTTTCAGTAGAAACATTCGGCAGAGATTTTTTCATCTGTTGCAAAGTTTGAAATAAGTGAAAACTCGTCAAAAACTTTCGTATCTTGGCTGCAGCTAATAAATCCTTGCATGATCAGTAAATCCAGCACTTTCTGTAGCTCTTCCTACGTAGGTACTTTTGTTAAATTTGCCCATTCAAACATTTCTAGTTCTGTGTTGAATTGACACCACTGCTCCAAGTATTCTTTGCTTGTTTTATAAAACTCAGCCACCGCTGTTTTTACATTCTGCTGGTCAACAGCAGCTTCTCTTTCTTGTAATTTTACAAGGAGGTTACGGACGATGTGGGGAAGGAAAACCGTATTCTCTTTTAGTGCCAGGTTATCTCGGAGACGATTAATTTCTTTGGCTGACTCTATGGCCGACACCTTTTGCCCTTCGATTTTCAACACAGCTTCATGAAAGGTCGCTGCTTGTGCGTGCAAAAAATATAACCATAATTCTGAGCTGGGAATATCGAAAAACGTTTTTAAAATATTTGGGCATTTGTCGATACAGTAGAGCGTCGATTATCCGAACTAATTGGGGGACTTGGGTGTTCGGAAAACCGGTATTTTTTGGATAATCGAACTACCTATATGTATATTGATTCAGCCATACATCTTTACGTACCGGTTAATGAAAGCCATATTTACATTTATATCTTTAATGACAAATAGGAATTAAACAGAAAAAGAGCACAAAATCTTGTAGTAAAACATGTACAATTACAGTTACAATTAACGATTAAATAAATCTTCAATCTTCGTCTGCCGAAGCAAGCCTGCCCGCTACCGAGCGGCTAGGTCACGTACTTTTTTTTGGACAGATATTTGATACTTACATACCGTATGACATTCTTTAGCTGCTGTAGGTTATCATACTTTGTCTTGGTAATTGGTTGCCTGGTTTATAAAGCGAAGGCATGCTGTTAATCAAAGACGTAATCTTCCTTGGTCTTCTAGGCAATGGGACGAAATCATCTGAAAAGTGGAGTTTGTATTCTATGGTGACATTTGGATTATATCTCAGTGCTTTTATATCAATAACACAACGATCACCCGCTCCTCGGCCAGGTCTTATTGATCATAAATCAGGTAATCTTTAAGACCAAAGTCTTGAAAAAACGTATAATCAGGTGTAATAACTTCATAAGGACTTGGTACTTTTCTGGCCTCCTTTGTTATTGTGGCGTATGGTGAGGGTAAAAATATTTCGATTTTTCAATTTCCTCTCAATCACCGAGTGGACTGAATAAACTTCCATCTTCGTGTGACCTTTCTCCAAGTACTTCTGAGTTATTACTACGTTCCTGGCCATAGCCAAGTGCAACAATGCATTCGATACACCATTATTTCTATTCTGTGCTGTACAACCATCTGTAAATATAACGACATCCTTGCAATCATTATCCAGTAATTTAGTTACGTAGTCTACGAAAAAGACGCGTAAGTAGTGGCTTTTAAGTCGCATGCTGTTTCATCAAACCAGTAACACGTGACTCCATTATTGCCAAGATTTTACACAGAAGAGTTCTGCAAGACGAGTTTAGTGTTAAAATAAAGTGCACTGGCATTGACGAAAGGACATAGTTTGACTGCCTGAAGATCTGCTGTTAATGCATGTATGATTCCTTTTTGTGCTAATTCAGTGTCAGATTTTTTTCAACTCTAGCTAAGTCTTTTCGTTCAATGACATATGTTTAGCATACTGTTCATCTGATAAAATACCAACTTTGTGAGCACAGCACCTGACGCTTTTTTGGTTGAAACAATCCAATATTCTCCTCAAACAAAACGTTTTCAAATACTTTTCTAGAATTCGACATAAAGACGATACACTTGTGATTTGATTGTATGATGGGTACTATGGGATGGTAGTTTCGGTAATGCAGTTAAATATTTTTTAACTAATTCTTTTTTGTATATTTTTTTATGACTTCTGTTGTTTCCTTATTATGTAGGTTCCTTATTATTTGTCCCATCTCCAAGCCAATAACGAACCGTCCATACTTTTATATCCAATGTCTCCAAAAACGTTTTCAGGCAAATTCTTTCTTTTTTATCATTACCTTTAGATAGTACGTTTTAGTATCACTTCGTATTGAATATGAGCTCTTGGTTTTTCTAGATGTAGGTTTCTTTATCCACCATTGAAGATATGAACATTTTTTTTCTTGCCAAGTCATCTTCCAGTAGTTATTAAATATTTCAGATCGAACTTCTGTTAATTTTGAACAACACATAGCTTTACCACTGAAGCATTTTGTTGACATATATATTGTACCCATTATTCTTGCAGGATTAAGATGGTTCTGAACAAATGTACCCTCTTTTTTAAATCCAATCTACACTTTTCCCATCATCCTCTGTCTCTTATTTTTCATTCTCTTCCAATTATTTTTATGCATTTCGTTGGCCGCCGACTTCTGACCCTCCACTGTGATGCAGCAGTGCCCAACGATTTCCATCGATACCCGTAGCTGGACATTGATAGCCGAGAAAAAATCAAAAAGAAAAAATCGAGAAGCAATTGTCAAACCCAAACATACTATCGACAGTCTTATAAAATGGTTTAGTGTCACACTCTCTCATGTTGGTATTCCACTTCGCGAAATCCAAACTAATCATGGAGTGGTTGTTCTGTTTGGATGTAAAGTTGTAACGTTTTTTCTCTAAAATTAACTCGTCATCAACCATGGTTATTTCAGGGTAGTATTAGTTATTTTTTAGTCTGCCTTGTTGATGCGGGACGCCTGCCCGCCCGCAACCGCCTTTATATCCCGGCACGCCGCGCCCGCCTTGGCGAGCAGCTGCCGCGCAGATGCCTTGCCTAGTTCTTCGTCCCCGAGGAGGAAGCCGTCACTCCGTCACTCCGTCACCCCCAGAGGAGAACGGCGACCCGTACTTCGTCGCTGGCGTGGGGGGCGCAAGAAGTGTAAACGAGCCACAGACCACCGACAGATCGCACTATTTAAATGCTATTGGTAACACAAGAAAATAATAAAATAAAAATATTAAAAAGTCAAAAAGTTCGGCGGTAATGTACCCACCGATGGGATACACTGCCTTCTACACACTATTGTACACGCAGTACTAACTATTCGACCGTAATCGAACAAACCAGGAGATCGTCTATGAATAATAAAATTTCAAAGTTGAGTCCTGTCACCCACACCGGGCTCTTCCGCTAGTGCTCCAGTAGGGTGTGCGGTGACGCACGCGTCACCCGCGCGCCCCCTATAGGCAACAGCACACACCACAACAGCATCGCCACCATTGCACTTCACTTGTCAAAGGTGTGTCACTATCACTTATGTCACTGTCACCTGTCAAATTACACCAGCTCCGAGTGTCTATCTCACTCACCACCGTACTAAAACCAAAATGGCCGCGGGCTCTTACGGGCGATCACCCAAGCGAGACAAGGAGGGACCGAGGTTTTAGCACTTTACGTTCATGAATTACTAAGTATAAACACTGACGTAATCACCACACCGAATATCTGTCTCACTCACTTGCGTACAAAAATATAAATGGCCGCGGGCTCTTATGGGCGATCCCACAAGAGGAAACGAGAGCGACCGACTATTAAAGAATTGCGATTAAAATTATTGGAATAAAAATACGTAATTACAGCGCGCGCACTTCGACACGACCGCCTCTGACGAGAACGAACGACGAAGTCTAATAGAACACCCTCCAACCTTCCCATGGCCCTACCAACCTCTCGGTTATAACGGGCCGAAGAAGCACGGGAGGGACACGCGCTACTGGCTTTCACGCGTGTCCTTTCTTGACTCCCTACATATTATTTATCTCTTTATCCGTCCCTATGTCATTTGGACACTCTCCCCCTTCTGGGGCTTGACAACACATAACAGCGACTTCGTCGTTCGCGCTCTATAGCCGCTGTTATCGCTCCAATTTGCTCCTTATTGGTTGATTCTTCTTCTTCCTTCCGCGAAGCACCGTAGCCGCCCAACACTCGCCTCAGAGCAGACACGATCGTACAGCACGCCGATCCATCCACTAGCCGAATATTGCGACGTTTACTATGGATCTACAATCCATAGTTGGTGGTCGAGATCAGTCTGTGTTCCGCGTTTAGCCGAGCAGGGCAGTCCCTCGATGCCGTGGTGTGCGTATTAGCCGCTTGGTGACCAAATTTGGTGCAAGTCGCACAGCATGATGTTGGCGACTTGCAGTCCTCGTTTTTGTGGCCCTCTTTGCCACACTTGCTGCATGTTGGAGTATCCGCACGGCACAGCTTCTCAGGATGGCCATATTGCTGGCACTTTCGACAGCAGGTGACTTCGGCGTAATCCTCCACCGCGACTACCTCCCAGCCAATGTACAGCCGCTCTTTGGACACTAGAGCTGTCCGTAGTGCAGGGGAGCATGCCAGCACCACGGTAGTCCGGTTCCCTCCTCTTCTTGACTTCTTAAAAGCCAGTCGGGCCTCCTTCCTTAGCTTGTCCAGAGTCCAAGTCGGGTCGTCCTTAAAGTTTTGGTCGTGGACAGCTACCAACACATCTTCAAATAGGGGGTCGCCCTCCAAATTCCTTAAGGCGACAAGGGGAGATCTGGACTTGGCATCCCTGACTTGCAGGGTTGCCGGCATTGCCGCCTTTATCTTTTGGGCTGCCTCCTGCGTCGCCGTCTTTAAGATGAGCCCCGAGTTGGCGACCCGGCGGAGACCCACTATTTGGGCCCCCAGCTCGCGTGGCACAACCAATTTCTTCAGCGCCAGTTTGGTATCCTCCGCAGACTTAAGTGCGCTGCCTTCAGCCGGGTATATTGCCAAAGTTGCAGCGGGTGGGGGGGAATGTTCAGGGGTGGTGCCTTAGGGGCCCGTTTCAGCGCTCTCCTCTCGCATAATTAACGGTCTGCCAACCCTCATTGACGGAGCCACCCGCGGCACCAGTCGCTGCCGCTTCCGATCTTGGCCGTTCCGCTTCGGCCTCTGCTCTTGAGGCTCTTGCAGCTTCTCGCGCACGGACCTCATCTAGGATATTATGCTGGCGCTGCATTTCGGTGACCGCAGTTTTCTGGCCCTCCACTGTGATGCAGCAGTGCCCAACGATTTCCATCAATATCCGTAGCTGGGCATTGATAGCCGCCAAGTCTGCCTTGTTCAGGCGGGACGCCTGCCCGCCCGCAACCGCCTCTATACCCCGGCACGCTGCGCCCGCCTTGGCGAGCAGCTGCCGCGCAGATGCCTTGCCCAGCTCTTCGTCCCCGAGGAGGAAGCCGTCATCCCCAGAGGAGAACGGCGACCCGTACTCCGTCGCTGGCGTGGGGGGCGCAAGAAGTTTGGAAGAGCCGCAGACCATCGACAGATCGCGAGCGCTGCGGCGCTTTGGATCCGCCTCCGCCTGTTCATCCGGCGACAGAATCCGCTTCGCGGCCGCCGGGCGCTGGCGCTCAGTAGGCGCCGGGGGGGAGACTTGGGCTCCGCACTGGCGCGGGAGAGAATGTCGGGGTCGGGGGATATGCAGGGATGCCCGGGGACGTCCTGGCGATAACCGCGTCGTAGGCCGCTTGGGCGATCACTAATACCTCGGACGGAACCATCGTCGTTCAACCGGGCGTCACGCGCACCTCTCTTGTTGGGATACCCGGCGCTGTTCCGGCTATGACCGCGTCGAAGGCCGCTTGGGCCCTCTCCAGCGTATCGGGCGGTGCAGTGCCAGTCAATCCCGGGTTAGCGCGCCTCTCTCCTGGTGGGGTCCTCCTAAAGGACCCCCTCGGCCTGAACGGGTCCCTCTGACGGAGTAGGGGGAGCCTCCCCCCCTCCGAATCGCTGCTACTCATTGCTTACACTATATGAAACAAGAAAATAATAAAATAAAAATATTAAAAATAAAGTCAAAGTTCGGTGGTAGTGTACCCACCGATGGGATACACTGCCTTCAACACACTATTGTACACGCAGTACTAACAATTCAACCGTAGTCGAACACCCTAGAAGATCGTCTATGAGCAATAAAGTTCCAAAGTTAAGTCCTCTCACCCACACCGGGCTCTTCCGCTAGTGCTCCAGTAGGGTGTACGGTGACGCACGCGTCACCCGCGCGCTCCCCATAGGCAACAGCAGCGCCACCATTGCACTTCACTTGCCACTGTCACTTATGTCACTTGTGTCACTGTCACCTGTCAATTACACCAGCTCTGAGAGTCTATCTCACTCACTACCGTACTAAAACCAAAATGGCCGCGGGCTCTTACGGGCGATCACCCAAGCGAGACAAGGAGGGACCGAGATTTTAGCACTTTACGTTCATGTATTACATATATAAAACACTGACGCAATCACTACACCGAGTATCTGTCTCACTCACTTACTTATAAAAATAAAAATGGCCGCGGGCTCTTATGGGCGATCCCACAAGAGGAAACGAGAGCGACCGACTATTAGAGAATTGCAATTAAAAATTATTGGAATAATAATCCGTAATTACAGCGCGCGCACTTCGACACGACCGCCTCTGACGAGAACGAACGACGAAGTCTAATAGAACAGTTCAATTATAATACAGCGATAGACAAGTGTGCAAGTATTAAGCGTAAGCCTAGGAAAATTCCGTTACAATACCGCTATACGTGTGCCAAGCGCGCGCGCATTTTCTCGGCGTCGGGATCGATATTTGACTGGCGAAGCGGGTAAAACCGATTGTGAACTTAAGTTATCGCAGAGAATTTTCTTGCCTTCTTTCTTTAATGATATGGGGAGAAAATGTGTGCTGAACCAATCTTCGAAACTTTCTAAATCTATCCAACCGCTCTTTGTGACACTCATTCGTGATCCAGGTGGTGCTCCAATAAGCCAATCAGACCAAATGTTTTTAGCTTTATATATAAAATATGGAGGGATCATTTCGCCAGCAGCATTCCCACAAAATACAGTTGTATAGCACGATTTTGTTGAGTTACGGATAACTTCCGGATTACGGCATTTGCGTTTGAAAATCATCTTTTTCTTTTTCGGGTCGTCATGAAAGCCAGTTTCATCGAAGTTATATATATTTTCAGGTGAAACATCCTGTAACTCGACTTCTAGATTATCGAAAAATTGTTTAATCTTTGCCTCATCTACCTGAGCCCTACCACGACTAATGTTGTGGCCAAACGCAAGCTTAAGATCTTGGTGTCTACCAAGGAACAGCTGACTCCATTCCCATCCAGGTCGATTGTTAGTAAAAACCTTGACTTTTCTGTTAGTGGAGTTCAAATATCGTTGGATGACAAGACTAACATCGTCTTGTCCTACTAGGATGCCACTATCCGCCAATGCTTTGACATGCTCCTTTACGATTATTTCTTCTTCCTTAGTTAAAGCTGTGGGCCTGCCTACCTTCTCCATGTGTTTATTTTTAATTTTGGTTTTTATTGTATTAATGGGAATTCTAAAGTATTTACTAGCACCATACGCACTTAGTTCTCCAGTTTTGATTTTTTCCAAGACATTCTTGGAACTTTTCTGGGTGGGTAGTTTGATCTCACACCATATTTTCGCATACCAGGTTCCGAAGTCAGCTTTTTTCTGGGCATCGCGGCTCGTAACTAAAAAATAATTTATAAATAAAACTGTATTTATAAGCTCACCTTTACTGTATAAACACGTTAGTCGCGTAAAGCCAAACTATGTAAAAAAAAATCTTTAAAACACTGTCAAAGTTAGCGTGCATCAAAATTAATAGATTACAATCGCTAGGGGTAACTTTGCCAGTGTCAAAGTTACCCAGATATCATTCAAAAAACGCATATTTACATTTATGCGTTAAAATAGATAATGAGACCTAATTATATGCAAATGTTATATGAAAATACGATAATTCCATTACAAATGGTTCTATATCACATCTCAATTACCTCGTTAGCAACCAAAATGACAAAATATCCAAAAAGTTTTTCACTGTTTGGAGAGCACAAAACTCGCGCGCAAAATTCAAAAAAGGTTTGACATAAACTCTGTTTGACAACTTATTTTTTTAAAGATGCGTTTACGGAGCTAGTTTAAAAATGCAAAACTGTAAGAAGTATATGTAAATTTTGTTGATATCATACGAAAAAAAATCTAAACTAGTTCATGATCCCACTGTCCATGTTACCCGAACGAACCAAAGTTACCCAGATTGACTGTACCAACCCGTCTGGCCAGCGTGGTATAGTAGGCCAAAACCTCCCTTCTAAGAAGAGGTCTATGTCCAGCAGTGGACTAGTACAGGCTGTTGATGAAATGTTTTTTATCAATGTCTTGATATTATTTTATTTTTAAATACTAATTAAATAACCTAATTACTCGTATTGTTAGAGCTTCAACAAACATGAACAGGATGATAAATGTTAATACTGTCGCGTTTAATTCCATAATTCGCATATTAACCGACATAAACAAGGGCCTAACAGCATACTTACTGCTACATGTATACCGTGGTACCAGAGTTATGACAAAGATTTAAATCACAGATAACACAGTTCAATATAAGTCGGTTAAAATTAAGAATACAAATTTAGAACAAAATAAATACAATAAAATAATGCCGAATTGCAGTACCATTGGTAACACGAATTACTCATCTGTAGACAACGACGCGACGGCAGCGATGCAAAAATGGCGGCAACATCAAAATGAGCCTAGCGACGCGGCGACGCGACGGCGGAGGCGCCGCGTCGAGCCGCCAAATATTACATTCTTATCACTAATCAGTTACTTCACTTGCGATTGATTTACGAGTAAAATCACTATATCAATTTATTAACATATAGTCCAGGCACATGGACTCATTTACAGAGATAAAAAAAGAAAAATGTTATCCAGATACATACGTTTTCAAATGGTTAAAAGGGTTAAAGTCAACATAAGGAAAATGTGTTATGTGGCCAAGAAGGTTAGGGGATGATTTTAGGGGTTGAAAAGGGGTGAAAATGGATACATCTCGTGTTTTTTGCAATTTCACGCGAAATTTGATGTCCTACTGAAAAATGTTAAATACAAAAGTTGTAGATCTTGGAAAAATCTACAACTTTTGTTGGGTCATTTTTTAATATAACCTCAAAATTTCAGAAAAAAATGCAAAAAATCAAAAAAAAAAATTTTTTTGTTTTTTACTTATCAATTTCTCAAAAATAATTTTTTTTTAACCAAACTTGCTGAAAGTACTCCTTTTTGTGTCCCGAACAACAAAAAAATATTTTAGATTGAAATATTAAAAACTGTTTGAAAGATTCATTTTTTTCGATCCGAAACACGTTGTTTTCAAAGTAACATTTTACTACTTACAATCATCGTAGAGAGGTCATACAGGGCACATTTTTTTCGTTTGACGTCTACTTTTCAATGAAATAATAAAACAATACAGCTTCTATTTAAAAACATGTCTAAAAATTGAAAAATATAAAAATAATAATTTTGCAAAAACAAATTTTTAGTTATTGTTAATAATTTGTTATAAATAAAAAAAAAATCAAAAACTAAAAAGACCATTGAATTGTACGGGAAAAAACACGAAGAAACATATGTTTTACTATTTAAATACATTTTTTATTTTTGTACGGTACTGCTATAAATATTGTAAAGTCCGTCTCACGAAAGAAGTCTCGCAGACGCGGCGCTACAGTCATGCGACAGAATGTTGCTAACCTCTAATATTAGAGACTCCCCAAAATTCCAATTTAAAAACATTTCAGGATGAATTCGATTTTAGTTTTAGTAAAAATAGGCAGTGGGCGATCTTTGATAATAGCGATCTTTTCCAGATAACCTTTTAATGAATATATAAATGAAATAAGTTTAAGGAGTAAAAAGATAGCGGTGGACCGGTGGTGTTGTAAAAAGAGATATATCTAAAAACTTAAGTATGTACTTAACATTAATAAAATATACAAATATGATCATATAGACTATATAAACATTACATACTAATATTATGTGATAATCAGTAAGTACATCTACATTTAAATACTTTTATGATTGTGTTAATAAAATAAAAAAAAAACATTTAAAATTTTTATTGTATAATTGTGGTCATCAATAGGGTTTACTCCAGACATACTGCAGTCACTATCCGAATTATCTTCATCAATATCACTATCGTGATCAGACTCTGTTTCACTATCATTTTCTGTAGATATTATAAACCGGTCCATTTCTTCATCTATCAACCCGTCGTTTCTGAAATATTCATCTTCTAGATGCTCCACATGTTTGCATTGTTTAAACCAATCTTCTGGTGTGACGCTTGAATTTCACAATTTTTTTCGTATCTTGGTCAACATTCTTCTCAGCCACGCGTCTTTCTACAAGACTCCATATTTTTTCGATTGGGTTCAGAACGCAATGATACGGTGGCAGTTTTAAATCTTCGTGGTTGTGATTTTTTAAGAGTTCATCCACAGCATAAGTTGGTGTTCCTTTATTTTGTTTAATTAAATCGAACAATATGGCTTTTGTCCAGCTCTCTTCAAAATAAACGCCATTTTCTTGCAACCACTTTTGCATGTCAGCTTTCAAATTTGACATGGTTGGTGCCTTATTTATTTGCGTGCAGTGGTATGGAGCATTGTCCATAACCACTAGAGACCTTTCTGGCAAATTTGATATTAATTTTTCAGTCATCCATTTTAGAAAATTGCTTGAATTCATATCGTCATGATAATCAGACGACTTTAACGGTGACTTGAAGATTAGAAAAGCATTATTTATAAAGCCATTCTCAGAACCAGCATGAGCGATTATCCATCTAGTCCCAGCAGACTCTGAAGTGAAAAGTCCTGGCTGTTCATCACTTTGCCAATAACTTTTGGTATGGTATGTGTTGTGGATATAAGTTTCATCCAAGAACACCACAGGTCTTTTATCGATGGTTCTATTTTTGCGCATTTTTTCGATATATCTAACGCACCAAGCAGTTATATCATAACGCTCCATTAATATTTTTCTTTTAGACTGGCATCGTTTGTATTTAAATCCAATGCTTTTCAATATCCTGTGCAGGGTGGCGCGGCTTCCTTCAAAATCAATATCTTCTTTCAACACTGCACGTAATTTGTTTAAAGTAGGCAGCTCTTTTTACTGTATAGAATTGTTGAATTTTATGGCGAATAGCACAGAGATCGAAACCATCCAGATTTTTTTTTTTGCACGTGGACGACTTTTCCCAGGTGTGACAATTTTTTTTGAAGTCCTTGAAGCTGTTTTTCCTTCTTGTGTTATTCTTGAAATAGTTTTTTCAGACACACCTGAAAAATAAATAAATTGGTAAATAAAATAATATTCTTTATTTATCTAGACTATTAGGGAGTTTCATTTTCTTCCCCATCAATTTAACCCCCAAAACTTATCAATTAAATCAGAAATCATTTTTTTTTATTTCTCGAGAAAATGATGACAGACAGACATACACAAGAACAATCCAATAAGGGTAACGTTTTTTCCTTTTGAGGTACGAAACCCTAAAAATACTTCAACCTTAATACAGAATGTTAATTATATACGCATTAAACACACAAGTTAAAGTCGCAAATAGAATGGTAAAAATTACATAGCTGGTAGCCCCAATTACGTACCTGTCATGGCGGCAACTCTCTTGCGAACGTTGTTTTTTGGTATCAAAACGCCATGATTGCGCTGTTCTGCATCACAAAACTCCTTTACCTTCAATATAACTTCTCGGCCAGCACTTTTTATAACTTAAGGCATTGTAAACAGCACTTTAACTATGGTAAATTAATAAAAATCTCAATAGTCCGAACACGATAACATCACCTGACAACGAAAACCAAACGACAACATGGCCGATTTGTCATAATTAGTTCCACTTTTTGCTGCGGGACTTCTCTCATGAGACGGACTTTGATAGCATATTTCGTGTAGTTGAAAGATGTCATGTAAGTACATACAATGCCATCGACTTTTACTTTAATAAGAAAAGTTCTTCATTTCTCGCGATAAAATTAATTAATTCAATTATTTTCTACATATTTTGATAAATAAATCGTCTTATAATTAACTTTTGTATACAATTATTTAAAACATGCTTTTAAATAATTAAATGATTTTTTTTAAATGAATTCTGAATCTAATTTAACTTGCACCGAATTTATAATTGAAATTTATATCAACAAAATAGATTGTTAACAATACTACTAATAATAATAATAATAATAATAATAATAAGCGATTATACAATACTGAGCGGAACGAATGGGATGAAGATTAATTATTCATCGATCGGAGGGGCGTAAGATGTAGAAACTCCGTTCGGGGGGGTAATATACCCATCAACGGAGTTGTCTTTTAATTCAATGACCGAGTCAGTGGAGCGGAAGCTTAAGTGCAATTGTGCACTCAAGTTCACGATGTTCAGTGCAGGAGTAGGATCCTCGTACGAACGAGGAGACCTTTCGGCGTCCTCGCTCGTACTACCTGAAGTGAGCACGTGCTGGGATCCTCTCCATGAAGTAGAAGCCAGAGGTGTGGAAGTAAGATGTTTGTCGAGAGTTGCTACGGCAATGCGCAGCCCTCACACTTGTGGTCTTTTGGCAGACGGTACCGTTTGAGTTTACTATTAAACCTAGACATTGGTGCTTCCCAGCCCCGTTCCGTGCAACATGGCTCGAGTTGAGCCACTAGTTCTCTTTGTTTCGTCCGGTACAGTGTGGTTGTCCATTCCCAGTCTGGGACCATACTCTTAATCGACTCCAAGTCTACTAAGCGTCCTGCGCCGCTACGTGGTCGGCATTGCGCTCCGCCATCTCCACTGAAGCCCCCGGCTTCGTGGTGGGCGGGGTTAGGGCGGCGCCGACATTTACGACGCCCCCAGGCGCAGTGGGGACATCGGGCGATGATGTGGGCGCCACGCCCTGAAAACCTGACGGGTCTGTAGCATCAGGTCCGCTCTGCCCACCCTTTCCAGGTCGTGCGCGCAGGGAACCGATGGTAAGGCGCGAGTGCAAATGGGCCGTGGAGGTGCCCACTGACGTGGACGCCCTGAGGGGGGCGTGCCACCCCTTTCCCTGGGTAAGATAAGCTACCTCCAGATTCGAGACAGCTGAGACAGATAGTGTCAATACAGTATACTCTCCAGTTACAAAGTTCCGCGAATGTACCCTCAGGCCCCAGCCGAAGGGAGGTGCCTGCTGCACAACGTTGCTGAGGGGGCGAAAGCTGCTGACCCACCCGCACTGTAGGCCAACTACTGTCATGATGGCTGTGTCTATGCGGAAAGAATATACATGTGCCTCCCGGTTAATGGGCTTGACGCACATGCGTATGTCGTCAAGACCAAGATCCAGGAGGTTCAACCTATTCATGGCCTTCTCCAGGCTAGGACAATCCGTTATCTCCAGGCCCTCGTGGCCCACCCGGTTTTCCAACCAGTGGCCGGAGACGCCCTTCATATGCTGCATGCGCTCTGACTCAATAAAGGTATAGCGACCCCGCTCCGTAACGTCGCTTAGGTTGAGCGCCAAAGGGGTCCTTATCCCCGTCATCGTAGTCATTATCCCCACAGCCTGGGCATTCGCCTCCCAGGATAGCTGCGTCCTGCTAGCTATCCCAAGCGCGTACTCCCCTATGGCGGATACGGCGTCTGACTCCTCCCCGGCACCATATACTATGGTGTCCCAGAATGCGCGGTCGTTCCCCATGAGCTCGGGGCTGACAGCCCTGTCGCTTATCCCCACTCCCCTCTTCCATTCCTCATAAAGGCGGCGCTTGAGCATCGCGCGCTCTACTTCGTCGAGCGCCATAGCGGTCCCCTTCTCACTGGAAGCGGTACCGCGCTCGCTATGCACATACGTTGCGATGCCAAGCCCAGTAACGAGTTCTGCCTCATTAGTCCAAGCCCCAACGCGTAGTGCGGGGGCTGTATTGGCTAGGGCCCTGCTGACGAACACGTTGTCGGTGAACGTGGTTGCATGGTCATGGTAGTAAAACGCGCTTTCGTCTTCTGGTGCTACACATTCTGGCAGCGCGTGTGTAGCGTAGGCGACGCCACAGTATGCCCTGGGAAGCCAATGTGTCTCCGAGCCACCGGCCTCGTCCCGGAACACCTCTGGCTGAGGGACGAACCGCATCGTCAACCACGCGACTATCTCGTCAATTAGCGCCCAGTCAACGTTGGGCGCCGTCATTCTTATGGAAAGGCACTGTTCCATCGTGACTTTAAGGGGTGTTGGTGATCGTAAAATTCTATCAAGGCAAGCCGTCAACATCTCGCCTATTGGCTGGGAGAATATCTGTTCTGGCTCCCTGTTTCTGTCCAATCCTGCTACATGTACTTCCACTCCCGCTATCTGCATGACGGACTCTCCTGTCGCAGTCACTATCAGAAATTTGCGCCGTCTGTTGTCTATCGTGACGCAACATTCGTTGCGCCGCATAGCTGTCAACCTACTCGCCTCCGCCCCCTCTGGTCCGGTTACGACAAACAGTTCATCGACTTCCACCAAAGGGTACGGGGCCGCCAACACTAACTGCAATGCCCACATAAGCTGTGGGTTGCCCGAGGCATAGTCTATCACAACGACGGCGACGCTTGGATCGTCAATACACCACGTTTGTCCATTTGCCAATACCACTGCACGTGTCTGTCGGTGCATTACCTCGTCTAGGTGACGTGTTGATATGGCCGCCACCTCCCACTCGTCATCCAACTCCGGCACCACGCGCGCCATCCGCGGAACGTCCCCTTTCAGTGGAAGCCCCCACTCTGTCCCCGTTGGGAAGGCGCAACTCATGTGCCGGAGGTGGTCGTATAGCCGCATCTTGATCAGATGGCCGGTTATGTCCATCGTACAGACCTGTGATCCATCGACCAAAGTGGCCTGCAACAATGGACTGTCAGCCAGGTAATGCCAAACGCCAATCCCTCTTGCAGAGTTTATACGTCCGTCTCTGGACGTGGGGTCGTCCACCGTGCGCTTCAAGTCTGTCGATAGCGCGGTGAGGACCAATCCTCCCTTACTATATACAGGGTCCTCTTTTACTCCTATCCATGTCAGTTCGCGTGTTTCAGCACCGACATTCATCAAATCCTGCTCGTCAGCGACGGGGTCATAGCCCATGAGGCTGCCCGCCGTAGTGGTGCGCGCTGCCAGTGTGGTGAGAAAGCCGTTGAGCTCCCTCCTTCGGTTAGCACGGGTCGCAGCCCGTGACACACCCCGCCATGCCCGAGACATGCGGGTGACCCATATGCTACTGGCTGAGGGGGGCGGAGGCAGCACAGTGCCGGTGGTTTCCAGGACACTACGTGTGGGTAATCCATCACTGGGCTCCCCACACCCCGACGCGTGAGTGGGCGTAGCTCCAGCCGGCGCGGGCTGTGCCGAAGTGCCATAAAACCAAAAGATTTGATGGCGGGTTGGAGGGGCGCTGACCAGTCCGACCCCGTTTGCTACATTGCTGGTGTATACCAGCATAGGGACCTCTTCCTGCGCGACACGTAGGCGTCGCTCCGTCTCGACCTGGTTGGCGTGGCGATGACGGACGCCACGCGTAGCTCGCGTCAGGGCTGCGGCCATGACGTCCGCCCTGGACGTATCGTGGGTAACCGAGAAGTTGATATTGCCGTTCATGGCATGCATCTCTTGGTTGTGCGCCGCGGCCATAGCCTCAAGCGCCCCACTCTCGCTTGTCAAGATAAGTGATTTCAAGGCCTCCGCGCCCTCGTATGGCTTCTGCTCCATCGTTAGCTTGACGTTGTTCCTCTCACCGGCCAGGTGCTGGACAACGCAAATCGGGCACACACGCTCTGACAGGAGGAGGGAAGCCAAAGGCCTGTTGAGTAAAAGGGCCTCCCCTGCTAGGCGTGTAATGTCCATATCTACGTCGCTCAGCCCCTGGCTTAAGCTTAGTTTAGCGAGGGCCTCCTCTGTGGTACCCCCTGCCAGCTTGGTGTTCGCCATCTCTACCTTTTTCTCTGGCGGGGTAGGCGTTCTGGCGTTCTGGTTCTTCTCTAGGGCAGTGCTAATTCTTTTAACTCAGGAGTATTAATCAACGAATTAAAACTTATTGTTTTTCCTTTGCCTAGTAAAAGCGGATGTTGTATCACATCCAGTAAAACAATGCAGAAGAGCAACAAATGATTTAATTAATTTCATCGCGAGAAATGAGGAACTTTTCTTATTAAAGTAAAAGTCAATCGCATTGTATGTACTTACCTGACATCTTTCAACTACACGGAATATGCTATTACAATGTTTATAGCAGTATTGTACAAAAATAAAAAATGTATTTAAATAGGAAAACATATGTTTCTTCGTGTTTTTTCCCGTACAATTCAATGGTCTTATTAGTTTTTGATTTTTTTTTTTATTTATAACAAATTATTAACAATAACCAAAAAATTTGTTTTTGCAAATTTTTTTTTTTTATTTTTCAATTTTTAGACATGTTTTTAAATGGAAGCTGTATTGTTTTATTATTTCATTAAAAAGTACACGTCAAAACGAAAAAAATGAGCCCTGTATGACCTCTCTACGATGACAATCATACAGGTCATACAGGTCATACAAGTAGTAAAATGTAACTTTGAAAACAACGTGTTTCGGATCGAAAAAAATGAATCTTTCAAACAGTTTTGAATATTTCAATCTAAAAATATTTTTGTTGTTTGGGACACAAAAGGGAGTACTTTCAGCAAGTTTGGTTAAAAAATAATTATTTTTGAGAAATTGACAAGTAAAAAACAATTTTTTTTTTTTTTTTTTTTCTGAAATTTTGAGGTTATATTAAAAAATGACCCAACAAAAGTTTTAGATTTTTCCAAGATCTACAACTTTTGTATTTAACATTTTTCAGTAGGACATCAAATTTCGCGTGAAATTGCAAAAAACACGAGATGTATCCATTTTCACCCCTTTTCAACCCCTAAAATCATCCCCTAACTTTCTTGGGCACATAACACATTTGCCTTATGTTGACTTTAACCCTTTTAACCATTTAAAAACGTAGGTTTCTAGATAACACTTTTTTGTTCTCCATAGACAACGTGCCTGGACTAATATGAATACCACTCGCAACAGTTTTTATTCACTAGATCAATATTTACTTAAAATAGAATTTATTAACTTTATTGTACACCAGTTTAGTACATCATACATACAATAGTAATCAAATTAATTTAAATTTGTAGGTTTTCAATGTGCCTACCGTTAACATCAATGGATCGAATACATCTTCGCATCATGTTGCCTCGTACTTTAGCACACAAGTTGTCATTTGCTGTCAAAACTATTAGTTTATTAAATGCACTTATTATCCTCGATCTGAGGTCTTCTATTGAAGTGACGTCTGCTGCGTAGGGGAGACCGGGGTTGGTTGACCAAGTTTCAGCTTAAAGGTTTCTATTTATTTTTCTTTAAAGTATATTAATTTAAAACGGGTTCAGTTAATAGATTTACTATTAAGCTTTGCAAAAAAGTGGCAAAAAGCACGTTATTCATTATGATATAGAGTACAGGCCAGTTTTTGTATAATATTCCTATTATACAAAAATCACCTGGGGTAAGTTGACCCATGAAGTTGTAAAGGTAAAATCTACGAGGAAATAGGATAAAAGACCCAATAATGTATTACTCATTTTTTTTATTGCAACCAAGGCGATCTTTCGCCACGTCAATTAATCACAATGAAATTCAAATTACAAGAATAAACAATCAGACATATAAACATTAGGCAGTTCGAGTACCTCGCAGAACGACCTCCGTCCTCCATAAGCGCAGGCCTGGGGGTGACAGGTGAGGCCATCTGTCACCCTAGCAGAAGCAGGCCGGGGCGGCGGCAAGCGCGTTGCGAAGCGCGCTCGCTTACAGGAAGCACTGGGAACATGGGGTTCCCACACGGGGGGGGGTCGTCTACTCGTCTGTGGATGACCCGAGGTATGTCGGGGTACCAGGGACTTCATTTCTAGGGTATACCTGGTTCCCCGGCTATTAGTACCCGAGACGGCGTGCGGTTTTAGTCGGTTCGAGTCCGACATGCCACCGACAGGTGGTATCCGAGGGGATTTCCGGACGGAAAAAAAAAAAAAAAAAAGGCAGTTCGAGTACCTAAAAATAAAACGAAAAAGTGTGAAAGTGCTTTCTTATTAAGTATTTAAAACAAAACGAAATAATATCTTACAATCTTTAAAGATTTAGTAACAAATAATCATATTAAACAAAGTACTCTCTTACAAAGTATTTAAAACAAAATGAAATAATTTCTTGCAAACTTTAACCATTTCATAACAAATTATCATATCTAACAAGGTGATAGGTGTTTTTATCTATTTTATAACAATAAAACTTGGCGCACTTGGCGTTTAACATAAATATTATATACATCACTTTATAAAACAAACCCTCATTCTTACCACAAATTGTTTGTATGCCAAAAACTACTTTTTTTCAATATTTTTACACTAATCGGCCATGACGTTTCGCGACTGTCATCTTCTCGCGCGCTTCATGTGCGCTGCGTATCTTTATTAGTGTGAGTGCTAGATAATTAGGGCGTTTTGTTGTGTGACCTAGTTTTACCCTAATAAATAAAATACGAGTATATACCATAATTTCTATAGAATAAATATATACAATAATAGCACCTGAAGTGACGTGGTCATGAGGATATTTATGCTAGCGGTTTTTTATAAAGTTCTCGGACTTCGGCTTTCAAAGTGTCACGATTTGTTGACATCCTGATCTCAAGTGGGAGCGCATTCCATAGTAGTATAGATTGGACAATAAAAGAATAATGAAGAAGTGTGTATTGGACATAGGAGTAAAAGATTATTAGTTCAACGAAGATAGATACATTGCTGAAATTTAAAAGGAAGTTCATGTATGCCTGTACGATAGAACTCTGGACATCTAGACTAACTGTGAAAGTATTTTGTACTGCCTCCTACCGTTCTGCGCCCGTACGCTTAGATAATTATTTTAAAAGCACCTACATTATGACATGTATTTTGTACTGTGCGTGTAATTTTTTTACTTTTGTGTGATGCCCAAGCGTTCTGGTCTTTTTCCATACATTGCGTATGCAGTGGTAGTAGCAACCTACAATCTTAATCTCTGGGAACATCTTTGTAACCGCGTTGATAAATGCAGGTTCGTAATCGACAGCTTTTAAAAGTCAAGGCTTTTAAAGGATCAATGAATGCTTCGTTTACCGTAGATTCTTCAGTACAAAAATAAAAATACGAGTGTTATCCCATTTACATTCAGCCAAAACGAAATCCTTGAACTTTAGTGGAATTTCCACTTCTTCGAGACGTTTGAATACTGTTTTATTCACTCAAACAGACTCATTCCTAACCTTATACAGACTAGTCTTCATACTAGAAAAAGAAGGAACAGAATCTATTAAATCTAGTCCCATATCCACCATATCTGCTACGCTATCTTTATACAGACTGGGATAATACATATCCCAAAAAATGAAATAACAGATAACACGGTTCAATATACGTCGGTTAAAATAAAAAATAAAAAAATTAGTACGAAAATACAGAAATGCAAAGGACATGGCCAATTTATACAAGGCCCTCTGCCTAGCTTGTAAAAGTTCATGTATATTAACGAAATTTTGCTTTTTGGAATTAAATTTGTCCTAAAAAATATAATGTATATGTTACATATTCCATGTACTTCAGATTTTTTAGATATTTACATAAAAGGATGTCATGTTTTAATCCTTCTTAAACTTAAAAGCAATGAGTTCATAGAAACTGTTTTGCTTTCATAAAAACTACAGGCGTTCGGAGCACTGAAAAGGTATTAAATGGATACATAATAAAAATACGATATTATTTTTAAAGACGACCGTGGTAGTAAGTGCGTTTGAATTAAGTGGCCCTAGTTCGGTTTCCAGTCGGTAAAACATGCTTAAGTTTATCCTGAAAAAGTATTTTTTAACGAGGATGCGATAACTAAGAAATATAATTATTAAATACTTCAAGATTATTTTAAGTTCAGATTTTAGATTAAGGTGCGCTGAAGGACTGAGTGGATGCTTAATGGATTGGTAATGGGTGAAATAAAAAAATATAGTTTTTATATAAAATGTTTTATTATGACATTTAATATTCAATCATTCGAACTAAAATATTATCTAAAAATGATGCTGGTGGAGTAATATTGGTCTGATGTCTAGCCCAACCTAGGTACCAGATCATTGTCATTACATGACAACAACATCCTACGGTCCTGTTGCCAACTAAGCAGCTGCAATAATAACCTAAAATAGAATCTAGTGAATAGTTGTTACTGGGCTCAGTATCAAACAGAATATATGTATAATATATCCTTTGACTTATATGCCTGGACTTTATACGCCCCCTTAATAAATAAGGAGTGTTCCCGCCTACCTGTAGAACCATTTCTTGAGAATGATCCAGTTCTGGGCACACTTCCACCTCGTAAACCCCATTTGCTCTTATATGTTCACCATAATATGATCGTGCCTGTTTTACTTGGTACGGACCTAATGCGATTAACAACAACTGATCATACGAAAATATTGGAAATCTTTCCAGTTGCGGTAGATTACCATCAATTCTTCTAAACATAACTCTGCGTCTGTTTAAATTATAATCATTTACAAACTGCCCTAGATGATTTGGTTCATCCATGAACCGCAATGCTCTTTGAATAATTTGCTCACAGTAAGGATTGTCTATGAGAACAGGGTGGAATTTATTCAAAATAGCAGCTGCTATCTTAAAATCAATCATTAAATGGGTAGCAGCTTTATTAAAATACCGTTGCCTAAACAGTTTAAAATCTCGTTTGAATCTGCCGTTAACAACTTCAACGACCCATCTACAAAGTGTTACACGTCTACTTTTGTTAGCTTGAGAATAAGTTAGTTGAGTTTGGCCTTCATCAAGTGATTCAGGTTTAAAAACTCTGTAGTTCAAACT